ATCTCTCTCTTCTAAAGGTGTACTAGTAAATGAACTAATATCAGATTATGATTTGATTTATTTTGTCTTACTGAAACCTGGCTGGGTGATGGAGAATATGTTAGCCTAAATGAATCCACCCCTCCCAGTCATATTAATACTCACATTCCTCGAGGCACAGGCCGAGGAGGTGGAGTTGCAGCTATCTTCGACTCTAGCCTACTAATCAGCTCTAAACCTAAACCAAACTATAACTCATTTGAAAGTCTTGTTCTTAGTCTTTCGCACCCAAGTTGGAAATCACTGCAACCAATTCTCTTCGTTATAGTGTACCGAGCACCTGGCCCGTATTCTGAATTCTTATCTGAATTTGCAGAGTTTTTGTCAACTTTAGTCCTTAAAACGGACAAAGTTATTATTGTAGGGGATTTTAATATTCATGTGGACGTTGAGAATGACAGCTTTAGTACTGCGTTTATCTCTCTGTTAGATTCCATTGGCTTCTCTCAGAGTGTTCATGAACCGACTCACTGTTTTAACCACACCCTCGACCTTGTTTTGGTGTATGGTATTGAAATTGAACATTTAGTGGTGTTCCCACAGAATCCCTCTTTGTCCGACCACTGTTTGATAACTTTTGAGTTTGTATTGCTGAACTACTCGCCATTGGGCAAAAATTTCTATACAAGATGTCTGTCTGATAGTGCTATAGCTAAATTTAAGGATGCGATTCCATCAGCTCTAAATATATTATCTAGTCACAAAGTAACGGAGGACTCCTATGCTAATTTCAGTCCCTCCCAAATCGATCATCTTGTTGATAGTGCTGCAGGCTCGCTGCGAATGACACTCGACTCTGTAGCCCCTCTAAAAAAGAAAATACTAAAACAAAGACGGTTAGCTCCATGGTATAATACTGAAACTCGCAAATTAAAGCAAATATCGCGGAAACTTGAGAGGAATTGGCGTTCCACCAAAGTGGAAAATTCTCGTTTAATTTGGCAAGATAGTCTTAAAACTTATAGGAAGGCCCTCCGTAATGCTAGAGCAGCGTACTACTCGTCATTAATAGAGGAAAATAGGAACAACCCCAGGGTTCTTTTCAGCACTGTAGCCAGGCTGACAGAGAGTCACAGCTCTATTGAGCCAAGTATTCCCATAGCTCTCAGTAGTTACGATTTCATGAGCTTCTTTAATGATAAAATTCTAGCTATTCACCAAGACCTGCCCTCAACTGGCACCGACTTATCTCTTAACTCAGGAACCTTAGAAACAGCTGTAGAACCAGATACATGTTTAGACTGTTTTGCTTCCCTCAATCTTTACCAACTAACTTCAATAATTTCTTCATCTAAACCATCAACCTGCCTCTTAGACCCCATCCCGACTAGGCTGCTTAAAGATGTTTTACCCTTAGTCAGCACCTCTATACTAGATATGATCAATCTATCTTTATCAACAGGCTATGTACCACAGTACTTTAAAGTAGCTGTAATTAAACCTCTTCTGAAAAAGCCCAAACTTGATCCGGATGTTTTAGCAAACTATAGACCTATATCTAACCTTCATTTCTCTCTAAGGTTCTGGAGAAAGCAGTTGCTAAACATCTGTGTGACTTTCTACAGAGCAATAGTTTATTTGAGGATTTTCAGTCAGGATTTAGAGCTCATCATAGCACAGAGACAGCACTGGTGAAAATTACTAACGACCTCCTTATTGCATCAGACAAAGGACTTGTCTCTGTACTGGTTTTATTAGATCTTAGTGCTGCATTTGATACCATTGACCATCAGATCCTATTGCAGAGACTGGAATATTTCATTGGCATTAAAGGAACCGCTCTAAGCTGGTTTAAGTCCTATTTATCAGATCGATTTCAGTTTGTACATGTTAACGATGAGTCCTCTGTGCATGCCAAAGTTAGTCATGGAGTTCCTCAAGGATCTGTCCTCGGACCAATCCTCTTCACTTTATATATGCTTCCTTAGGCAATATTATCAGGAAACATTCCGTAAGCTTTCATTGTCATGCAGATGATACTCAGTTATATATATATCGATCAAGCCAGATGAAACTCATCAGTTAGCTAAACTTCAAATGTGCCTTCAGGATGTTAAAACCTGGATGACCTGTAATTTTCTCATGTTAAACTCAGATAAAACTGAAGTTATTGCTCTGGGGCCTAAGCACCTCCGTGATGCATTATCTAAAGATATAGTTTCCCTGGATGGCATCGCCCTGGCCTCCAGCACCACTGTGAGGAATCTTGGAGTTATCTTTGATCAGGACATGTCGTTTAAGTCTCACATTAAGCAGATTTCAAGGACCGCCTTTTTTCACCTACGTAATATTGCGAAAATCAGGAACATCCTGTCTAAAAATGATGCAGAAAAACTAGTCCATGCATTTGTTACTTCTAGGCTGGATTACTGCAATTCCTTATTATCAGGCTGCTCGAAAAAGTCCATTAAGACTCTTCAGCTGATCCAGAATGCTGCAGCACGTGTTCTGACAGGAACCAGGAAAAGAGATCACATTTCTCCTGTTTTAGCTTCTTTGCATTGGCTTCCAGTAAAATCCAGAATAGAATTTAAAATCATTCTTCTTACCTACAAAGCTCTTAATGGTCAGGCACCATCTTATCTTAAAGAGCTCATAGTACCTTACTACCCCACCAGAGCACTGCGCTCCCAGAATGCAGGGTTACTTGTGGTTCCTAGAGTCTCCAAAAGTAGACTAGGAGCCAGAGCGTTCAGCTATCAAGCTCCTCTCCTGTGGAACCAGGTTCCAGTTTGGGTTCAGGAGGCAGACACCATCTCCACATTTAAGAGTAGGCTTAAGACTTTCCTCTTTGATAAAGCTTATAGTTAGGGCTGGCTCAGGTGAGTCCTGAACCATCCCTTAGTTATGCTGCTATAGGCCTAGACTGCCGGGGGATTTCCCATGATGCACTGAGCTCCTCTCTCCTCTACTTTCTCTCCCTTTGTATGCAACCTCATCCCATTATTGCATGTTACTAACACAACTTCTCCCCTTTCTGGTAGTCTTGTGCTTTCTCGTCTCTCTCCTCTCTCCTATCACTTCCTGCATGTTTTCTAGTTCTGGAGCTGTGGAGTCTGGATCTGTGGTTGCGGGTCACCTGCTGCCCCCGTGTTCCTGCTCGACACCCTCTGCTGCAACGACTATTGTTGCTAGTCTTATTGTTATTATTGTTATTATAATCATTAACATTATGATTATTACCATTAACACTACTATAAATATCTGTACCATTTTTCATTTAGTCTATAGCTCCATCACCTTCACTGTCTGTACCTCTGTGTGTATATTGTGTAGGCTGCCTCCCTCCCCTCTCTCTCTCCTTACATCCCTCTTTTTCTCTCTATTCCTCTCCTGCTCTCTCTCTCTCTCTCTCTCTCTCTCTCCCTCTCTCTCTCCTTCACCCCCAACCGGTCGAGGCAGATGGCCGCCCACCCTGAGCCATGGTTCTGCTCGAGGTTTCTGCCTCTTAAAAGGAAGTTTTCCTTGCCTCTGTCGCCTAGTGTTTGCTCTTGGTGGGAACTGTTGGGCTTCTGTAAATATCATCACAGAGTACGGTCTAGACCTGCTCTTTTATGAAAAGCGCTGTGAGATAACTGTTATTGTGATTTGGCGCTATATAAATAAAATTGAATTGAATTGAATTGAATTGTTACATCTTGGGAGGATTGGCTTATCTGGACTAACATACCAAGGCAAAGAACATGTCAAAAACTTCACATCTAGTGCATCAAGTATGACCACTGACAGATAACAGGACAATGTAAGCCTCACTGTTTCTGCACCACAGTTTGTGTGCACAGTAGCGAAGCAATAGCCTACAAATACGTTTTATTTTTAATGCAAATTTTAAAAGTAAGCATTATTGGTTCACTTGATAGGCACACTGTCTTGTTATCATAATGCTGTTAGCAGTAAAAATGTGAGTGTTCTCCACCAGGGCAGTAAAATATAAATTTAGCAGGCTGATCTGAACTTCCAACTGTACTGCAGTACAGTTATATTGTTGTCTCGCGTACGTAACCAACGCATTTCTGTCCATGTAGCAAACCCAAAATACATAGCTGGAGAATAACTACATGAAATTAATCCAACTACAACACTGACAGGGGAACACATTACTTCTCTCAGTAATTATGGCCAGCTTCTAGCTAAAGCTATTAAACAACAGTTTGCATTTGCATTGCTAAAGTTGGACTAACTTAATTAGCAGAAACAACCTCAGCGCCACTTAGAAAACTTTTGTCCTGCATCACCGCCTTCTATCTGGGAAAATCCATAATGATTATATCTTTGATTTCTGCTGTCATTTGTCTGTACCTGTCCCGACTTGTCTGGCTTCATCATGTTTTTGCTTCTTTGATGTCGAAGATCCACACGCCGACAGGCTCCTGCTAAATAATATTTGTAGGCCTCCATTTGTCCAATTTTCACTTCTCTACGTACTTCTAATAAACCAGATGACTACTCGCTACGCTGTAGATTGCTAAATGGAGGAAGAGAGAGAAAATAGCCATGCATGAAGAAGAGACAGGCCAGGAAAAGAGACAGAAAGTGTCCAGAGTATGGGATCATTTCAAGCTAAAAGAAACAGCTCTGTACAGCTCGCAACAACACGACGTCTTCAACATCTGAGCAGAAAGCACCCGGTCTACGCACAGTGTCCACGGAGCAGACCACCAAACAAGGTAATGCGCCAAGCAAAAGTATTTCTTGTCCAATTACTTGATGAATCAATGTACAGTGTACACTACTTGATTACTAATTGCTGCAGCCCTACTTGTGTCCCTAAAGGAGTTCTTCTAACAATTTTAGTATGGCGCACATAAGATTTTGGAGATTATGATTAATTTCTTCTCCACACTTGAATAAACTGGAAAGATGTTAACACTAATCTCAACAACACGTTGAGATGATGTACAACCACAGCGGTTGTATTTTTTTGTATTTGACACCTCAATAATGGCACCCACGTTCTCATCTTACCAGGATCTGCAGGTGTAAGAGTAGGACTCTCCCGACTTGTAGACTTTGTTGTTGTGCACACATGGACACTCATCCACTACAACACAGCCAGTGTTGCTGATGTCATCAAAGACCGTTCCTGAGAAGTGGATGAGAGATAATAATCATTACTACAGAATGTTTTATGTCACATGAATGAGACTGCGTATGCCTGCATACAGCATATACATATAATGTAGTGAAAAATGTGTGGGGATACCGGGAGGGCAGCTGCAGCCATCGTGGCAGTGGCTGTCACACGTCTGGCTGGCCTGAGGGGTGGAGCAGCTGTCGGGACATGAACTGCTACACTCCAAGAACTCCATGCCGTATGGACATTCATTGTCTGTGGAGACCAGAAACACTTGAACATTGCTGTACCAGTAAGGATCAAACAACACCGCAGCTGATGTCTGTAAGTCAGGGACAGAACATCCAAATAAAATCAAGCTGAGTCATCTTTAGCTGTTAGCAGCCTTACAGCAAAAAGTTGCATTCCTCCATTGTTGGGGCTTGCCACCTGCGTGGACACACTCTCTGGAGAACTCTGAGATCGTTTTACAGAGGATGGAGTCAGTGGTGTCATTAGAGTTGCACATATCAGCCATACAGGCTGCACTGAATGATTCCATGTCCAGAAGGTTTTGGCAACTCCTGAAAGGAGCACTGGAGAAGATCTGGTCACACAATTGCTGAAAAATAAATCAGTTAAAAAATCAGTCATATAAATCCAGTTTGGAGTCCAAACAATCTTTAGATATATAGATGATGTGTCCTGCTCTAAGAATGAGAATGCATACACAACATGGTGCACACCAGTGTGAGCTTCAGTGTGGTGATGAAGCATGGTGTGCCACAGTAGGGTTGTGAGGTGCAGTGGATAAGACGCATGGCTTTGGTCTGAGACCCGTGTTCAAAATGTAAAATATAAATGCTATGTCTAGCCTTTTTAACCACTGTTACACGACATCGCATTCACACACATTCTTACACTGAGCCTAAGTGCTCAAATAGACATTTCCATTCATATTTAAACATTGTATTTATGTGTGTGTTTTAATATTTTTGTCTGTTTTATTCTTCCGCTGCATTTTCTACCCTATTTATTTCCCCAATGGTATTTATTTCTGCCTGTCCTTTTTACATTTCTCTATGCATTTCTGTCTCATCATGCAAATGAGGAGGGGCTTTGTCTCAAGAGGTGAACTTCTCCCCTATTGGTGGACCAGTCAGATGGGAGAGCTCTAGGCCTACTCTACCTGCACACATCAACAAGCTTGCTCCTCACACAGTCAGATGGCTTCCTTCAGTGTGTTGAGGTGTTTAGCAACTCTATTTGAAGACAATACTACCAGCCATGTCTTCCTTCCCTTTTCGTGTGGACGCTCTGACCTACAGAGTTTTCAATTAGCGACTTATACGGACACAGAACTGCAGGAAAGTGAGCTGTTGTTTCTGAGAGCCACATGGTCAGTTAGCCGCAGCTAAATCTGGAGTGCACTCCTATTCGAGTGTTTACGGTAAATGCTCCCACATGGAGCAGCTCGTTGCTCTGCTGTTTTCAGCTGTTTTCAGTGCTTATTTAAACTTGGCACAGCTCAGTTAGTGTAGGGTATCTCATCATTCATGCACTTCATGAGATGTTTAATGTAAATGTGTTGATGAAGAGTGAAGAAATACCTTATCGCCACAGCTCAGGACCGGGTTGAGCTCAGGCTCCTCACAGCTCTCTGTCGGCCCGTTCACCTTGTAGGTATCAGCATAGTCTGTCACAGACAGTGCAGCTCCTACAGACAGGACAGTCATTGTGATTAATGAGCCCAGTATCTTGCAGTGAAGTAAAAACTTCCAATGCAATGGCTCATTTTGCAGTAAATTGCTGTAATGACAATGACTAACAATTTCAAGTCAATGTGGAAATATGTTTAAGTACTATTAGTTTTTATAAGGTAAAAATCAGCATATACTAAAATTCTTGCAACAGTCACAAGTTCTAGGAACTTGTTTGGGTGTTTGTGCCCTATGACCAAACTCTCCCAACAGGTTGCATAAATCAATGGGTGGTCTAAGGTGTTAGCTCAGAGATACTGTATGTAAGTTTAGGTAAATAGAAAGTGTTTGCTGAGATTAATACAGGTTGAACCCACAGTATATTTGTTTCGCCTGAGATATCACAATGTTGTAGTAAACGGGCAAATTCCTGGAGGAACAGGACTTACAATGGGTTTTTAGTCATTTTCAATTCACATTACATCAATAACATTTTATTTGTATAGCACCACAGAAGTTATCACATTGCACATTTGGGATTTAAAATACATGTTGTCACATTTTTACTTTGATATCAAAGTATTAATTTTTATTGATTATGGTTGACTGTGATTCATGAAAAATTCAAGGAGACATAGGTCACTACTTTCACACAGAGAGCAGCCAGAGGTGGGTAGCCAAAAACTGTAGTAAAAGTACTGTTACTTTGCAAATACAAGGACTCAAGTAGATGTAAAAGTATTCATCAAAATAACTACTTGAGTAAGAGTACACAAGTATTTACTAAAGCATTTCTTGAGTAGCAAGTCAGTTGGTCAATAACTGAATAATGACTTAAAAAACTAATGGGTCTTTTCCCCAAGAATTTTATTTGATGTGGATGAGACTAGAATTATTTCAAATCGCCTTCCTCAGGTAAAGGTAAATAAATGAACATACATTTGTATTTATTTGTGATGAAATTACAAGTCATCATCTCCTGATTAGATAACCTGCCACATTTACACCAGGACAATATTTCCAATGTGTATCCATCAAGTGTTATTACAAAATATTGCATTAATATTATAGTCTGTTAGTACTCCAATAAGTAAACATTGTTTAAAGGTGTGTAAGATTTAGTGGCATCTAGTGGTGAGGTTTTGAATTACAACCATCTGTCCAGTCTACCACTGCCCCCTAACCTTTCAAAGAGCGTAGGACAGCTACAGTGGCAGACACAGCACAAAAGGTGTCTCTTCTGAGACAGCAGAGAGTGGCCAGTCAAGAAATAAGGTTTCTTTAGGTATATTTCTTAAGAAATTATATTTACTAGCTTGTTTACTGTGATGCTTATTTGGAGTTGAACTGAGCTTTTACTTTGAAAAATTCTGAACAACATTAAAAGAGTCTGCTGCCTGCTTGACACACTTCTGAAAGAGCCGTCAGAAAACGTGATTCCCCTAAATGTCCTCTGCCTGGAGATACTGGGGAAATGCAAAAGCTTCCGTATGTTGACGTATGAAGGTCAAACACTGAAACAAAAACAGTGCATCACATGCCGTGATGTGGGAAACATTTGCTGCAGAATTAATTTGTTGAAGAGAGAGAAAAAAATTGTCCCAAGGAGGGATCGAACACACAACATTCTAAATGAAAGTCCTTGACTTTACAAGTTGAGCTAACTGAGTACCACAACTTCTTCAAATATTATGGCTTCTCATCCACCATCTAACAGTGTGAAAGTAGGTAGGCCTATGTATGCTGTGTTCTAGTTTGTTTTCAACATGACTGCAACCTGCAGTAGGCTATATTATCTCTCCATAATGCTGAAAAGGATCTTACCGTCTTTCACTAAATCATTGGCGGTGCCGTCAAAGTTTCCACAGAGTCCACATGTCTGGTTCTGGTATTTGTTATCTATTTCAATCTGTGAACACACCCCAAACATACAGCAATCATTTCCCAAACTAGTAATCATTTATGATTCAAAGCAGGTTTTTTAAGATTTGATCACTTTATTAATAAAGGTTTTGCATATATCAGTCTGTCTAATTAGCCATATTCAAATTCACATCACAAGTTGTCTGCACTCTTTCTACTTCTAATTTTAGGTTTTAAACAAAGGCTTGTGAGGCAGAAAGGGCAGGGAAGCTGGTCTAAATCAAAAATGCAATGTCAACTCTGAAATGAGTAAACTCTTTTTCCAGTGTCCAGCCTGTCAGTTAGACTGCAAAGTAAAAGTAATGTCATGTATCATCTGTAAGATCCAACACTGTTCCTATGCAGTCCCTGCTAGTGTAAGCTAAAGGTGGCTTCCACTCAGCCTTTTTAAATATAAATCTAATGCTATTATTCTAAAATGATCAATCTCCAACAAAGAAATCATTAAATCACTCAACCACATGTTTACTTAACGCTGCTACATTTACACTGTGGTTTTCTGCCTTGGCTTTTTTTACATATATTGTTTGCTATCCAGGTGAACTGTAACAAATATTTGTCAGGCTCCTCCCTGTTACCTCAGCCATGGAGATTACTTTTTTTGTATCTCAAAACAGATCTCAGTGAAATTTGAAGTTAATCCATAGGTGAAGGGAAAACTGATTTTGGTGTGGATAGTGTCATTTTCAGTTTTCACTGTGGAGAAACATTTCTTTGAACCCTGAAGTCCAGCTTATTTGACATGAATTGCCAACCTTTATGAAAAGTACTACAGCAAAACAATTCCTTTAAATACACAGCTCAGTAATTATGGCTCTCAGAGTGTATAACAGTGTCACAGTAACTGTAGAGCTGGTAACAACAGAAAAGGAAATGTTTTTTTCATTTAGTTGCTCATAGAGGAATATGAGTAAAAACAAATGTTTGAATCTATTGAGCCAAAAGGGGGAAACTCTTTATTTAGAGGGTGGCAGTTATGTTCCTAACAAAAACTGTGGACTGTGCTCACTAAAACACTATGGCTCATAGCAGTTAGTTAATAAGTTAGCTTTAAGAGCTTTTGGACAACAATGGAGTTCTGTGGCAAATAGGGCTAGTGATAATAAGTTCATTGTTGGTAGCTACTGCCTTTAAACAATGAAAACTCTTTAAGACTCAGTGCGTTTCTTTGTATGCATATGCACACATAACAAGAATGTGAAGGAACCGGCTTATGCAGTTACATAGAGTCAGAGCCTGTTGAGTTGTTTACAGTAGGCTCACAATGTGTAACTTTGTCAGTGTGTTTACAACCCCATGAAGATACTCAAAACTAAGGACAGACGTGTGTGCATATGTGAGGGTGTGCATACATCCAGAGAGTCATCCAGGTTCCAAATAACTCTGATTCCCAGCTTAGCTTCGACAGAGACGCTAGATGAGGTCCCCTTGACAGTCACCCCGAACGTGACAAACGGCAGCGACACCCTGCAGAAAACAGAAAGTGAAAATGAGACCGACCGACAGAAGCAGCAGCCGACACAGGAGGTCAGATTCTAATGAGATGCAAAATGGGAACGGTGTTTTCTGTGAAGCAGCGGATGGAAGTGGCGAAAGTGGCTCCAGCCTTTCCAGGGTGACTCAGGAGTTCACAGAAAATTGCTGCGGCATGCTGTTAATTTTTCTGGAAATGACTGCGTTCAAAGTGTTAATGATAGTAAATTGTTAAATTTAAAAGCAAACAAATGACCTAAAAGAGGTGGGTGTTTCTGACCTCAGCACTGACACTAAGTCATTTATTTCAATGTTAATATCAAAAGTATTTATTCTTTCAGCTTTACATGATATCAATAATAAAACAAAGAAGTCAAAGGCAGTTTGTTTATAGCAAAATGTGACCATGAATCTATGCCTTTGTTTGCACTTCACTTTACCACAGTGTGAAAATCAACTTGATTTGAAACGTGCTGGGGCAGCTGATCTGCCTTTACGTCTTATTTTAACTGAGCACT